ACTGATTGCAAAAGCCATATATTTCCTCTGAAATTAACTTTAGTATTGAACCCCATGAAGTTGGAATTTGATGTCTTGGGGATAATCCGACATTATCTACTGACTCTACTAGAAATGAATCCGCACGCTGGGACACATCTGCTCTGAATGTTCTCAGAGGTTAGTGATGCTGACGGTTTCTTAGGACATAGGGTGTGCATTAGAGAGTGCAGGGAAGGTGGCTCGCCCCATGTCTGTCACAAACTCAAGCAAGTATAAGATAAAATTTCTGTCAGTTTAACAGAAACATAAGTTTATGAGTTTTATGCCCAATTTGCAAGTTTGGTAAAGGGAAGTTAACATGTTTTTGAGATAGATCATTTAGTTATATAGAGACTTAGGCTTGTGGTAATTAGTTACAGTGTTGCCCGGTATGCGTTTTTCATTATTAAATGTGAACAGGAGTGAGTTCTTCCTGTTGGGTCATTTGAGGACGGTGTGCAAGTGTGTTTCTTCTGGTAAGTGTATCTTTCCTTTAAAATAACAAGTGGATTTGAGACAGTCTTCCTTTTTTTTTTTTTTAACTGGATTTGAGACAGTCTTTTTTTTTTTTTTTTGAACTGGATTTGAGACAGTCTTAGGTAGCATAAGAAAGGTGAAGTCAACTCTACCATTTTACTTGTTCTCTTATTTCTTTTTTTGTCTCTCTAAAAATAAGTTTGACTTTGTGATAATTTTATAAATATTTTTGATCTTTAAAGGTATTTTGGTAGTGTTTCACCATAAATTATAAAATTTTAAGATAAAGCCATGTGTAAAATATTTTTTAGTGGATGGAGGAGATTAAGTCAGGTCAGATTCGTAATTCTGAGTCCCATGACAGATCACCTGTCATTTTGGCAAAAAAGGAAGATAAAGATGAGGTTTTATTGTGTAATTATCTCTTGGAGGTAAAAAGGGATTGTTTGAGCTAAAATGTAGGAGAGGATTGCAGTTAAAGAAGGGTTTTATTTGATAAGGATATAGATGACGGAAATTTGCAAGGAGATTAGACCAAGTCAATTGGTGAACTGTCCCATTATCTCAAGAAACCACCCATGATTGTGTAACTGCAGAAAGTGGAGGTTACTGCCGGCACAAGGAGAACAAAAAGGAAATTTTCGAAGGGGAAACACATGACCAACCTTACTTAAACATCTGCAAATTTTCAAACTTTTATTTTCTCTGCAAATTGCTTTCAAATTTCGGATTTCAGCACAAATCCTGGTAGATTTATGTTGTTTTTCATCATTCCAATAGGCAAATTAATTCATGTATTCAGTTCAACAATTTCCTTTCATGCAATGAACTTCAATCCTTCAAGTTTATGCAAGGTTCCTTCAAGTTTATGCAAGGTTCCTTCAAGTTTATGCAAGGTATTGTTTTCTTTCTATTTGCAATTAATTTAATGTTTATGATAAGTAGTATTTTATTCAATGATTATTTATGTGGTGTTCACACTTCTTTTCAACTTCAAGCATGTTAGTTTAATCATTGTTTATGTTAATTTTACTGTTAATTAGGGTAAAATCTTTAATTCTGCAGCATTTTAATTTCCAGATCTACCAGTAGATAGCATTTTAATTTAACAATGAATATATTTGATTTAATTGGACACATTTTATTCTCGTAAATTTATTTTAAATTGCAAGTTATTTAGTTCAATTAGGATTTGTTAATTTTAAGTCATGGTAGTGTTTAAATCCTTGGAGTTGTTCAAAGTAGATTTCATAACTCATTCTGCAGGAAGGTATTCCTCCCTCTTGCAAATCGTCTGTAGGCACAGATTTCAATTTTAATCCAACGTTCTTCTCGTCATCTGCAAAGAGATCGACCGTGAGGAAGGAGAGGGTTGTTGGAAAAGTTCTCCTTTATTACTTTCAACAAAGTAAGTGGCACGCCCGCATCCAGATTTCACACGTGCGAGGCCATTAGAGGATTTTTGGGGAAACAAGTAGATAAAAGGTTTAAGTTGTACAATGCTAATTAGTGTAATTTTTATAAAATTTTTGTTTATTTTGTAAATATATATTACTTAATTTATATCTTTTTCCATTTGTATGAATTTTTTTTGTCTTTATTCTATTTAAGGCTATTTTTGTAGTAGTTCTTTTTTACGTAACATATTTATGTGAATTTTTTAATTTAATCTTAGAATTAATTACATTTTAAATCAAATAAATTAAATTTGATAGAAAAATCTATGTTCTACATACTTTTATCAAGATTTCTTAAACTTATCAAAATATTTATAAATTAATTATTTAAATTACATTTTCTCTGTATATTTTATGTTATTATTTATTTTTAATAATAATTTCTTTTTTTTAAAAGATAAATCAACGTCAATGATCTAAATAATTCAATGATAATTTTTTTTACTAAAAATATGAAATCTTGAGTTCGAGTTGTATGACATGCGGATGGAACGAGATAAGAAAAACTCAAAAGGGTTTAATAATGCTAATTACTAGTGTAAGGTAAGACGGGATGTTGCATGTATTAAAAACAACTAATAACAAGATAGCGTGGGGTGTTTGGTAGGTGAAAATTAAAGATCTGATCTAAGATTAGGCCGAGGATTCGCGTTAATTGCATAATTCATGGGCAAGCATGAATTTAAATGAATAATGATAAATAAGAAGAAAAATTGAAATCAAAATCTAAGACTAATAATGTAATATAAGTCATATAATTTAAAATATTAAAAAAACCTATATATTATTTTATAATTTTTTTTTTTGAACATATTTGCAAGGGACGGGTTTCGAACCCAACCCGAGGAGGGGGGAATGCACCGGGGTGGCTATTGCCACTAGGCTGCAAGGGCCAGGTGCATATATTATTTTATAATTAATTCTTTTTACCTTTTTGAAACTTATAATATTGTATATACATCAACTAATTAATAATGTGACATAAGTTATGCCATTAATTCTAAATTTTTGTTTCAAAATTTCATCCAGCCCATTATTATCCAATCTGCATATTTGTTTACGAAAAACATTGCCTATCAAATTCCTTGAAATTTGGTGTCATTAATGAGCCAATAAGGTCCAATTAACGTTAACATATGCTACCTTTGGTCCATTTTACTTATATATTTTAAAAACAAATGATATAATTTACTTGTTAATTTCAAATTTTAACATTGTTATTTACCCATTAAATATTAACATCTAATCTGAAGTTGCCACATCAATAAAATTTTACAGTTGATCTGAAATTAGTTTTTTTTATAATTCATATTGTAGTTACTATGATAGGTTAGAGTCATGTGCTCAATTGGAGCTCTATGATTGGTTTAGAATGTGCTACATTACTAAGTTGTAGATGATCTAATGCAGCCTACAGCTCACATCGAAGGTGGCATGGAGGTGAGGTCCCACATGGTAAGATAAGATGCAGATCTCTTCCTTTAATCAATTTTATTTGAATTAGGTGACTAAAAGAAATTTAGGGAGGATCAAATTAGGGTTAATTAGAGTTAGTGAAACAAGTTAAGTACAGCTAGCAAACTTGGAGTGAAGATAGTAAACTATTGCTGCCAAATGTGGAAATACCAGACACACAGGGAGTGGTAAGAAGTGGATTTAGAAACATAGGAAACACCTCCGATAGCAAGGTAAAACCATCTCCTTCAATAGAAATCAGTTTTTCAAACCTGCCCCTCTTAGAAATCACCCAGTGCGCGTCAATTTCAATTCTAGGTTTGATCAACTAGGCTTCAACATAGATTTCCAAATTGTGATTCAAAAGCATGTTCTTGTTCATAGTTTTAGTTTAAATCTTCTATTTTGTTGGAGGTTTGCCTAGCAAAAGAATTTTCAGAACCAAGCATTATTTTTAACTCATTTGTGTAAGAAAGTATCTCTTCTTCGTACCAATGGTCTGTTTTGGGGTGCATCTCTTTATTAAAGTGACTGTTCTTACAACCCCCAATTTAGAAGTCAACTACTTGACAGAAGGTCATTAGCAAAGTCCTTTTCTTGCTTTTGCTACAAAAGCAAATGGCACATCTAAACGCATCTGTCACTTGGCTTGGCAGCCAAAAGGAGAACTTTGGAGAAACAATGGCATTAAAGTCTTCTTTTTCAATATTGCCCCTATTAATAATTACTCTATTCTTCAAAGAAACACATTTTAACTTTCCAACTAGCCTAGTTTATAAGAGTAAATATGAAATTTTAATTAATAAAAAGTGTGTTTTCATGATTTTTTGTTATTTTTTATGTAATTGTGCTTTGCAAAAAAATGTGACAAGTAAAATAAACCAAAGGAAATATTAATAGTAGTATTTCATTTTATTTTAATTTTTCATACCATATGCTTGCTTGGTTATAGCATCACACATTCACACTAGGTTGAGAAAAATGTTGGTAAGGAGGTAAAGAGTAAGGCCATTTTTACTCACTTTTCCTTTTCTTGGTAGGAGGCTCTGGGACTTTTGTCTCAGAAACACGTTTCTGGATAAGGCAAGTAATTAGTTTCTATCATAACCGGTCACAATATAAATAATCATTCTCTTTTATTCTCAATTTTTGTGCCCAGAATCTTGACGCAAACTAGCAAAATTTATCCAGCTTCCCAGAAATGCCTTTTTCCAGGAAATTAGGCCACTAAACACAGCCTAAGACATGATATCGCACAAACAATCCTTGATAAATTTTGATGTGGAGCTTTAAACTTATAATGATGCATCAAGTTCTTATTGGTTGAGAAACCGCTAATCAAAAGAGTTGGAAGAAATTCTATAATATTTAATAGTCATTTTTAAAAAGTTTCTTTTATTATTATTATTATTATTATTATTATTATGTATCAGGTGTAGAGGATGACAGGTTATCGCTCTCATTGTCCAAACTTTTCCCCACTTGTTTCAAAGTTTAAACTTCGAGAGTTGAGACATTGAAACTTCAATAACAGTTGGGATCTTTCACCACCACAATTACTTGCACCAACAATGGCTTAGAAGATTAAGGACTATCAAAATTAAACAGAGAACTAATTTACAATCAGTTGTTCAAACAAAGAAGAAAACATGAAGAAGGCTGCCTTATTAGACATGAGTGGAGATGGGCTCATACAAGGTTTCATCAAAATTTACAGAAAAACTTAAAACATGTTAAACTGGAAAGAAAAATAATCACATGGGAGCCTTGCATATCAAGCTATGTCACAATGCACAAAAAGAGTGATATTCATCACACAAAGATGGGATCAGTCATCAGAAAAACCAACTGGAAGTGGAACACAACTTCCAGGTGCTCTTCAAACCCTGCTGTTTGCAGGTAGAGGCAAAACCCCATCAAAGAAATCACCAAAGTATCCACGGGGCTCGTGTACTAACCTCGAGATTATGTCTCTGAGTGTGATCACTCCTTCCAGATTCCCTTCATCGTCCACAACATAAACCCGATGGATTTTCTTGGAGTCTAGAAGCATAATCAATTCTTTCATTGTGTGGTCTCTCTTGCATGTAATCAGGCCACTAGCCACAACTGGTTTCTCATTTTGCTTCTCCAAGTAATTTCTGATTGCCACTACGAAATTCTTTGCCGTGATGGATCTGTGCATTAAAAGGACTTAACTCATAACAGTTTAAGGGATAACCATGGAAAATTAAATAATGAAGTATAATGTATGCTTCAAAAAAACAAAAAAAAAAAAACCTGTATTTATGGTAGATATCTGGTGCAGTAAGAAGGAAATGAACATCTCTTATGCTTATATTACCCATTGCCTTTTTACCACCACGTTCAAGAACTGGTACGCCTCCAATTCTTTTTTTCCTCATGAGCTTAAATGCCTGCAGCACTGGTTCATCCTCATATACCTAAAACACAGATAATGAGTATTTATGGGTAATTGTCAAATGCTCTTAGCAAAATCTCTAGAAAAGGTAAAAGACTCTATGGAGGGAAATTTATTTATTGACTTGCATCCACAATCAGAATCTTCCTCACATTACAAGTTTTTGTTTGATATTTCAAACTAAATAAAGTACTATTGATGAGCATAAACATGACAAGACTCCAATCCCTGTGAAGAAAGGGAATGGTGACTTACCATGATAATATCATCAGATGACATTACAGGAAGCCCAATCTCAGACAGCCTTTTAGTTCCCCATCTCTCAAACCATTGAAGGCCAGCACATTCTGCTAACATGTGAATAACGGCAGACTGTGAGATGATGTTATCAATCTTCCCTTCACCCAAATCAACCACGGCAACACTCTTCATTTTGTATTTTGAAAGCAGCAAGAGCATGGTTAAGAAGGAGTTTGATTTTTGCAAAGCAAGGAATGGAGCCCAGCGAAATGACCCTGAGATGTCACGAACCTGTATAATGCTTGTAAATCAGCATGGACAATTTCATTAAACATAAAGGCTGAGAGAATTCAGGATGAAACGAGATTTTGCATGTTATCCAAGTTAGAAACAGAACCTTTGTGTTCTTATAGAAGTCAGAAGAAGTTAGAGCCTCAAAAAAGTTCCCCGAAGTTACTGCACCATCTTCATTGCCTAGAAGCCCAAGTCCTACAGCAGAAGTCATTCCATTAACTGCTATCGCAAAATCAGTCCCATTGGTCGGAGATGAAGGGCTCCTAGGTGATGGAGGTTCTGACTGATAGGAAAAAAAAATTGTTCTTAATTTCCCAGCTTGAAAATGGAGAAATGAGAAGAATAATGAGATAAAGACTTGCTTTTTTATCATGTTACTATATATCATAAGCTAATTTGAAAACTGAAGTTCACCTTCCTCTAGAACTAAAAATTTTAGCCACTGGTAATGCTAATTGAATGAAAAATCATAAACCTTTTCGTCTAATCATTTTCTTCCCCAGTAACCTCATAAATCATCCTTATATCTCTATAACCCTTAAGCAGAAGTCGTTCTTCTTCTTCTTTATTTTTAATTTTAATTTTAATTTTAATTTTATTTTTAATTTTATAATAATTTATTTAACTAATATTAATAAAAATTTAATATTTTACTCCATCCCTTCATTTATTATTCTAAGGAATGAGGGT